GTGTGTGTGTGTGTGTGTTTCTCATGCTTTTTCTTCACACCCCTTTCCCTTGTTTGTTTGCTTTGTTTTATTCTAGTTTGGTTTTTTTTATTGGCCATTTGTCCTCTAGAGAGAGAAAGGAAAATGTGTGGAGTTGGATGGGTGAGGAGGGGGAACACTTCGGAGGAGATAATGGACAGAAAACTGTGATAGGAATGTGATATATTTAAAAAAAAAAAAACTATGTTTTGAAAATGTCTTTGCAATAAAAGAGAGAAGGATGGAAGGAGGGAGAGGAGGAAGGAGGGAGAGGGAGAAAAGGAAGAGAGGGAGGGGAGAGGGAGGGAGGGGAGAGGATGGTTGGGGATACCAAAGGAAAAGAATCTAGACAAAATAGGAACAAATTCCAGAGCAGGAATATTTTTACAGGGAAAAAGGAATGATATATGTCAAGGATACAATAGAACCAGTTATATCCATAAAACAAACAATGGAAAATATTCAAAGTAAGAAAAAATGAAGATAAAGACAAGTCAGGTTAACTGGAATGTTTGGAAATTTAAAAAAGACCAACGTAGCCCAGACTGGTGGTTTCCACCTCACCCCCTTCCTGGTGAAGAACTCAAAAGCCAAGCATCATTCTATAAGCAGCAATACACTGGGTGAAAAAGGCATCTGTTAGCCCGCCTCGCAGGCTGTATCAGCCACATCATGTGACTAAATACCAACATGGGAGGCAGAACAGGCTTTCGAGGAAGGCCTCATGTGACACAGTTTGGAGGCTTGTCTTTTGTGCCTCTTCCTTTCTTTCTTGTACAGCCTGGATGTGATGTAAGGGCAAGGCTCCAGCAGCTCCACCTTGTATCACAAGACAATCTGCAAAGTGTGGGTGGCAAAGAAAAAAGGAATCCGAGCCACTCAGGGCTGTGGAGTTGCTGCATCCACCTCGGGCTCTTTTTGTAGGAGGCTGGTTAAATCACTACTCTCTTGTGACTTTGTTACTGGTAATCAAGCCTCATTATGACTGACACAGCAAGCAACATTTAAAACCCAAGTCACCAGAAAAACTGGGAAAGAAATTTGTGACATGTTCCAGAAAAGAGAACACGATGACAAGAAACCAGGGCACTGATTAACAAGGTGGGGGGGGGGGGGATGGCAGAGCTGCGGAAAATTATCAAGGAAATCCATGAACAGCAGCAGCAGCAGGAGGCTTGGCTGGGCCAAGTCTGTGTGTGCAGCACCCTGGGAAGTGAGCTGGCTCACGTGTCTTATGTAGTTTTAGCTCTGTCAAGAACAGAAAAAACAGTTTCCCAGCAAAAGAAAGTTGGAAAGTAAACTAAAGAAATAAACATAATATACTTGAAAATGCTGTGGAATAAAGAAAAATATATACAATATCAGCATGATGGATGATGGAGAGAGGAGGAAATCTCCAAAGAGATAAAGGTGTTGTTGGGTATACAACTCCAATCCCAGCACTGGGAAGCCCAGCTGAATTTAAAGCCAGCCTTGGATATATAATAATTGTAAAACCAATGTGGGTTATATAGTGAGACCCTGGGATCTCAAAGCACGGAAACATAACCTAAAAAGATAGAAAGGACTTGTCCTTAGGGAACCGGAGACATTGAGAAATTAGTGAGAGGATTCATCAGGTTTGTTTTAAATAAGGAGCTCCTCAGCCTCAGCCCTCTAAATCTGAAGTCAAGAGCACCCCTGCACATCCCCATTTCAGTCTCCAGGTTAAAGAACATGAGAATGTTCTTTATATTTCCTGAATAAAAAATCTGACTAAGAGGCTGTAGGAGGAAATGTCCTAAAACTTCAGAGATGGCAAACTGGGACTAGTCATTGTTCTTGCTTTTTATTGCTGTGAGAAACACTAGGACCAAAGGCAACTTGGGGAGGAAAGAATTTGTTTCATCTTACAGCTTACTGTTCATCTTGAAGGGAATCCAGAGCAGGAACTCGAGTCAGGAACCTGGGGGCAGGCACTGACGCAGAGGCCGTGGAGGAGAGTTGACCACTGGCTTCTTCCTGTAGCTTTCTCAGCCTGCTTTCTTAAACAACTCAGGGCCACCTGCCCAGGGGTGACACCACACCCAAATGAACTCTCCCACAACAATTATTAACTAATCTATAGGACAATCTGCTGGAGGCATTTTCTCCATTGAGGGCTCTTCCCAAGTGACTTAGCTTGTGTCCATTTAACAAAAACATTGTTGCTGCTGTTGTTTTGAGAAAAGGTTTTCCTGTGAAGCCCTGGCTGTCCTACAACTCATTCTGTAGACCAGGTGGCCTCGAACTCAGAGATCTGAGTCAATGTAAGACAAGGATGTAGGCTCAGCAGCATATGTTGCCCAACACTGAGCTCACTGAAAGAGAATGCCAGCTGTTGATTTATGGATGTGGTTTCAGTTTTATCAGAAGGGAATGACAATGGTAGTAGCTATCTAACTAAAACATGAATATACTTAATAACACTAACCTGTATGCTAAAAATGGCTCAGATAGTAATTATTATATATTGAGTGCATTTTAACTAAGATTTTTTTTTAATGCATCTCTGAAAACATCTGGGAAGGCTAGAGAGTGAGGTCAGGACTCGGGAGCCAGTCTCATTGACATTAAAGATGGTATGTATCTGGGGAATACTGCTGCTGTGCTCTGAATTCCCTTCATGATGAACAGTAAGCTGTGGGCACCTTCCAGCATTATTTCCAGAGAGTTCCCTGGTGTCTTTATTTCCTCAACTCTCCAGTTCCCAGTCTGAGGAGGGTTTTTGAGATTGCCATGTCCTCTGTCTTATGCCTGAACTCTAGCTGCAGCTGATGCCATACAACTGTGTATTTGGCACCTGTGGTTTTGAGTGTGAAAGTCCTCCTGCCTACCCCCAAAATTCATAATGCTGGAAATTCTTCACACACACATCGCTAGCTCTGATGTGTGGAAAAGGGATTGTTTATAATCTACTGGGCATAGTAGCATACAACTTTTAATCCCAAGAGCCCAGGGATCAGAGACAGGGGATTTCTGTGAGTGTTAGGCCAGCCTGGTCTACAAGTTCTAAGCTAGCCTGGGCTACACAGTGAGACTCTGACTCATAAAACAAACAAACAAAAAAGGGGCAATACAAATATATTATCTAATCACAGAAAGGCTAACAGATGAAGAAACTTTTCAGCTGTGTCTTAAGTTCTTCAGTGGGAGTGTGGGGCTGGGGGTTGTGAAGAATAAAGGAGGACAGTATGAGAATATGGGAACCACTGTTTCTGACAGTGTGACTTTTAATGCCATTTGACTTATTAAACTATACACTTATGATTTTGATCAAAATAAAATAACGCTTTATGTTTTAATAACACTCCTACCACTCAAAGTGTTACACCAAGTTAGAAGAAGGAAAAGCTAGTTGGTAGGGGAACACAATGCTCTTTTTTAGATGTCTCTTTCTATGACCTCTGTCTCATCCTCTGCCCATGCCTATCTGTACAGAGATGGCATAACGCAAAGTATGTAGGCATCAAACACACACAGTCACCTGGAGATCACGTGATATCAAATTGTGCAAAGAGTCTGCTCAAACTTGTCTATGACTTCACTGGAAGTCTTCATTTGTGAATAGGAAGATGCTGGTATCTATTATACTACATGAAGTGATAGACATGTATGAGTCAGGTTCTGTTGCTGTAACAAACACAAGAGATGGTTGACTCAATCAATTATGATCTGAATAGGAAGTGTCCTCCTAAAAGCCTTATCTGCTGAGGGCTTGGCCCAGCCAGGCAGAGCTACTGGCAGGGGGTGGGGGTGGGGTGGAGGTGGGGGGGTGACTGAATCAATTAATTCATTGATGAGTCTGTACTGAATAGGCCCTTAGGAAGTGGGGTCTGACTGGACAGTGTGTTACTAGGTTATATCCTGTCCCTGGTTCTCTTCTGTTCTCCTCTCTGTTTCCTGACTGCTGAGAGGTGAGCAGCCTTCTCCTGCTGTGCCTTTCTGCTGTGACACCTCATCCTTGCCACAGGCAATGGTGTCAACTGATATGGACAGAACCCTCTGAAATGGTGCCCAAATAAAATTTTCCCCGTTAAGCCGTTTTCTCGGGCATGTTGTCATCATGATAGAAAGTTAGTTAATTGACCAGCTTTTAAAGCAAAAAGGTTTGTTTTGGCCCAGGGTTTTGGAGGTGTCAGCTCATGACTAGCTGGCCCCACTGCTTTGGGCCTGTAGCAGAGTTATCCTACCATGTTGGGAACGTGTGATAGAATAAAACTTGCTTATATCATGGGCCAAAGAGCTAAGGAGAACAAAGAGAGCACCAGCGCCCCAGATGGCCTTGAGCAGCATACCACCGACGACCTGAAGACCTCCCATTAGGACCCTCCCCTTAAAGGCTCTAATAATACTATTGCACCATCCCGGGGACATGCATCTAACATGGACCTTTGGACAACATTCTGGATCAAAACTATAGCAAGATATACAGCACTAGGCTATGACAGGTCCTCAAAGGTGATGTTTTCTCTTTCCCTCGGGATGTCTCATGTTCTATAATTACTTTCTCTGTGACACTGTCCTTGTAGGTTTAAGAAATGCTAGACTCTTTTTTACTACCACCCCCTCATCCCTGCTGCCTGTGTTAAGAGAGTCCTCTTCTGCCGACAAAACCCAGTGAGTCCTTGCATTCAGAAGGGTCCCCGGCAAAGGATAACTTAGTCTGATTCGCGGCGTTTAAGCTTCAGCTGAATTTTAACTAAAAGGAAAATGACACTCAGTTTCTAACTACGGCCCCTAGCTATTATACATGCAAATAGAAATTGTGTCTAAAATGAGCTAGTGTATAAATAACAGGGTAGAATTATAAATAATTTAACTGGCACCTAAATTCTAACATTTTGAAATAAATATTAAAATTGCCAAAAGTTACGGAAACTGGGGTATAATAACTGGGCTACGGGAAGCAAATAGTGGTCACCCCAAAATAGGAGTCCCCAGCACAATTCCAAAGCACTTACCTTCTCCATTCCCTCTAGGCTGGTTGCACGGATCTGGGACAAGTTGGTCATGTGATTCACTCCTAGAAGCCTGCTGGTTGTGATGGGACTCCTGCTCCTCCCAGGAGGCAGCAGGCAACCCGCCAGAGGCTCCTGCAGGAAAGGACAGAGACCCCAAGTCCAAGAGGAAGCTATCTCGCAGGGTTCGCTTGGCGGCTTTCTTGCTTTTCCCCTTCTGCCTCTTCGGGACCCAGTTTCCCTGTCTTGACCCAAGCTGACAACTGTCATGCCTCTCTGTGGGCTGGAGCAGCTGATCCATGTCCTTGGTGAACTCTAGCAGGGTACCCTCGGAGAGGCTCCCAGCAGGGGTGCCGGAGCCGTAGCTGGGAGCCCTGTCCTGGAGCAGGTGCTCAGAGCAGGGCAGAGCATCTGGACCTTCTCTGGGCACCGCTTCAGGAGACTGGGGGAGACTGCAGGGAGTCATGGAGAGGGCGAAGAAGGAATAGTCCACCGCGATGTAGGTCAGCATGAAGTTGATGGTGACAACTGGCGCCAGAACATTCACCTGACCCACAAGGACAAAGGCCATGGTCACCAAGCTGGTCAGGCAGATGGCTGCTACCGGTGTTTTATTTGGCCCTTTCTACAAGAACAACAACAAAAATACAGAATTATGAAATCTCAGATAGAAAGCTTCAGAAATGTTACAAGTAAATGACAAAATAAAAAAATTAAATGTAATGTCTCAGGAACCTCTCAGCACATTAAATTGGAAAAGAGATATCCAACTCAAGGGGTGAATGGGAGACCTGAGCTAATGCATGCAGATGCAAACCCAGCACAGTCCTAAACACTAGAGGCACGGGCCACCTTACTATTGACGTGGTCCTGACCATACAACTTTGGAAGTCTTGGTGTTTCAACTCCCCCAAATAGGAGGCCCCCATTTGATTAAAAAACACTGACCTCCCGCTCACCAGGCTGAGGGACAGCTCAGGGACTAGCTGTGCAAGTGCACCCAGAACATACAGCAGATTCTGCTAACATATGTGTGCATATGCTCATGCACACACACATGTGTCTGGCATTCATGGAGGAGGGCATGGATGTGGGAAGATGTTTTAACTGTCTTTCCTGGAAACTATCACAGTCACTTGTGGTTCAGGAGCCAAAGCTGCATTCATCTCTCGGTCCTTTGTTCTTCACCTGAGGAAATTCATTTGACCCAGCTGCCCTCCCCTCTGTGTGTGACTCTTCACCTGCCTTCTCTCCATTTGCCACCACCTCCACCAGCTGCTCCCTCTGTCTTCCTAACCCACTCCCCAAGCCTCAGAGACTGCATCCAAAGTGGTCCCATGCCTTGTCCTCCAGACCACTCCCTTTTCTCCACCTAGACTCACTCACTAGGCTCTTTGCCCAGTTCATGGCTTTAGTCATCAACTTTATGTATGCAGCTCCCAGCTTTGAACTTACAGCCTAAAACATTCCCAGGACCCCCTCTGAAACCAGCCGAGGCTTCTAAGCTGTGAATCAGAGCCATACTGAACTAAGACTCCCTCCCCAGAACAGTCCTTAAAAAGGAGAGAAGGGGAAAGGGGGACAGGGGGAGAGGAGGAGAGGAAGGAGGAAGCAAAAGTTTTTATAATGTTTGAGAACTAGTTTGAGGGAGCATTTATTAACAGATTCTAACAATAAAATGACTGCAAATAAACTAAGTCCTTAGAAACACATAACGAAGTTTCCGATAAAAAGGTATGGAAAATAGACAGTGAATCCCTACGACATAATTGGAAACAGACAGACAGGGAAGGTGCAGTGGCTCAGCAGGTAAAGATGCCTGTTTTCCAAATTCCCATGAGAATGGCAGATGTGAAAATACAGAGGATTCGATGCCTCAGCATCTCTACAGCAGCACTGATTAGTACAAGGACCCAGGGAAAGGGTCGGGTGTTACTCAGGATGTGAAGACAGACAGGTAAGAAATTTCAGTAATAGAAGCTGGAGGTGGTGGTGCACACCCTTAATCCCAGCACTCAGGAGTCAGAGGCAGGCAAATCTCTGAGTTCAAGGCCAGCGTGATCTACAGAACAAATTCCAGGATGGCCAATGCTATACAGAAAAACCCTGTCTTAAAAAAACCAAAAAAATAAATAAATATACAAATAAATAAATTCTGATAACAGGAATGCAAGTTTGGGGTTGGCCTAAATTTACATCCAGAACAAGGCTCATCCATAAAACCTCCCAATAATAAGATGCTTCTACAGAGGAAGAGCTCAGAAACATGAGGATGAGGGAAGGAGTGTAGCATAGAAGGACACACGGACGGACGGACACACACACACACTCATTCACATGTGCATAATTCCACGTATAGACTGCATATCCTCAGTATAAGGGTTCTGTATCTGAAATGATGAAAATTCTACAAAGTCTGTATTTGATTTGTACGGAAATTTAATTGAGAAATCCCAGACCATGAAACTTTGTTTCATGCCTAAAATTTCTAAAAATGCTGTTTATAATTACCTTCAGGCTATGTGGCTAGGTGTACATGAAACATAAATGAGTTGGGTGTTTATACTTGGCCCCAAAGATACTGCATTATAAATACAGAAGTATCCCAAACCCCCACACCTGAAAAGCCCTGGCCCCGGACAATAAAGACAAGGAATGCTTCACCTGAATTTGAAGGTCTCAGAGTCAGGCAAGCTGTTTAGAGATGTATATGGAGGGAACACACTTGTAAGCCGAAGTCCCTGGGCCAAATCCCAGGGACCGTTTATGCCATGAGCTACAAAGTAGCTTTGCATTTTTTAAACAACTGGAGGAAAATCAAAAGAATAATGTTTTGTTTCATGAATCACATAAAATTTAGATTTGTTTTCATCCATTAACAAAAACAAATTTAGATTTGTGGCCTTGGTCAAGTGTTGGGTACTCTGTGGCAGTTTATGAGCTTCAATGGCTAACAAAGCACAGGTGGCTAAGGTCATGGATCTTGCAATGTCTAAGGTATGTGCTCTTTGACACTTGAGAAAACCCTGCCGACCCCTGAGAAAAGCCATACACAGGGCAAGGAAGTGCTTATCCCAGAAGTCAGGGGTTTTGGAGTGAAAGGGAAGGGCCTCACTGGGGAGGTAGGCAGGGAGGGAGTCAGGCTTGCAGGGCTCATGGGTGGAAGCTACAAGGTGCTTGCCTCGTGGTTATTCTTAAGGCTGTTGACAATGATCTCATGACATTTTCTATTATGTTCACTATAACTCAAAGATGTGTTTAAGTTTCTAATGTTCTGTATTAAGAAAAGTAAAAATAACCCAATCATATATGAAGAAGGTTTTAGGAGATGAGGGAAGCTTCCAATGTTAAAAGACATGTGACAAGCTGGGAGAAATATCCCTAATACAGATCACACCCAGTTAACCTTCCTAACAAAGAGCTTCTAGAAATTGAAAATAACCCTAATGATGGGGGGGGGACCGAAACAGCTAGATAATCAACTTCATTCATAATAAAGGGAACAGAAATCTTGGTATCCTGAGGGGCCATTTCTACTGTACACTGGCAAAACATTTCACTTAACCATGAGCCATAGAAGTTGGGCAGTGATGGCACATGCCTTTAATTCTAGCACTTGAGAGGCAGAGGCAGAGGCAGGCTGATCTGTGAGCTTGAGGCCAGCCTTGTCTACAGAGTAAATTCTAGGACAGCCAGAGCTACACAGAGAAACCCTGTCTCAAAAAAACAATGAGTCATAGACATGCTCCTTGCTAGCACTGTCCTTGTCACTCAAGGCAACAGCGCAAATGAAGTTCATACACACTGTGTTTAAATATTTACAAATGCAAACAAAGCTAAAACACAAATATGAGTGGATATGTCTAGGCTTCTTCCTTGGCAGGCATACCTACAAGATAATGAGGAAGGTCAGGTTTCAGTTTTGTTTGTTTGAGACAGGGTTTCTCTGTGTAGCGTTGACTATCCTGGAACTCTGTAAGACCAGGTTGGCCTCAAACTCAGAGATCCGCCTGCCTCTGCCTCCCAAGTGCTGGGATTAAAGGTGTGTGCCACCACCTCCAACCAGCCTTCCTCATTAATGCATGCATAGCTTCCAGGTCAGGGCCTACCCCCATCTCTTTGTAGACCACACTTGGGGAGGGGGGCACTCACACTTGTACGTGGATTCTCACCCCATGCCTTGACTCTGTCTAGATGGTAAGAGGCCTTTGCACACTGTGGAGGTAGGTGGTGGTGGTGGCATCTGGGCAGGGAATGTTATAGGGCATCTTCCTGGCCACAGTGTGGAGGAAGGTGCCTGGGACCTAGGTAGGAATGTTTCTACAGCCTCATCAATGTTCTACATCCAACAGCTGGAGCAGAATCCGATCTTGATTGTCAATTTGATTGGGTTGAGAGACACCTAGGGCATCAATAAAGTGTACTTCTGAATGTCTGTGATATGAGTTGACCATCAGGCTGGTCTAATCACTAGTATTCATGTGATGAGGTCAATTTTCTTTTTGTTTTCTTTCTTTCTTTCTTTGAGTATGTGTGTGTGCACATATTAGCCATAAGAGAAATATAATTAATACAACTTCTGAGATTCTACCTCACCCAGTCAGAAACCAAGAAAACAAACAGTAAATGCTGTGAGGATGGGGAAAGGGGAAATGCTTACTCTCTGTTGGTAGAAATGTAAACTGGTGCAGCTACTATGGAAATGAGTGCCAAGGTTCCTCAAAAAACTAAAAATAGAACCACACATGATGCAATCCATACCTAACCCCTGTGCATATACCCGAAAGACTCTATCTTTTTTACAGGAGTATCAGCACATGTTCATTGCTGCTATTTATAACAGCTAGGAAACAGAATCAGCCTAGATGTCCAACAACAGATGAATGGATAGTGAAAACGTGGTGCATAAACACCGTGGAATTTTATTCAGATGTTGAGAAAAATGAAGTTACGAAATTTGCAGGAAAAATGGATGGAACTGGAAAATATCACACCAATGAGATCACTCAGGCCCTGGAAATGCAACATGTTTTCTCTCGTGTGGATCCTAGCTTCAAACTTGGAAATTTGTGTGTATAATTTGGTGCATCTATATAAGCCAGGAAGCTAGAAGGGCCCTATGAGAGTTGAAAGCCAAGGAGCTTTAAGGGTTAGAGGATAGTAGAACACATGGTTTGAGGGAGCCAGGTGTGATGGCTTCATCCCAGCACTCAGGAGGTAGAGGCAGGCGAATCTCTGAGAGTTTGAGGCCAGCCTGGTCTACAGAGTGAGTTCCAGGACAGCCAGGGCTGCTACACAGAGAAACTCTGTCTCAAAAAAAAAAGGGGGGGGTAGGAGAAAGACAGGAAGGAAGGAAGGAAGGAAGGCAGGAAGGCAGGAAGGAAGGAAAGAAGACAGGAAGGAAGGGAGGAAGGAAGGGAGACAGGAAGGAAGGAAGGGAGACAGGAAGACAAGAAGGAGGAAGAGGAAATAAAGGAGGTAAAAGGGCAGAGGAGAAGAGAAGGTAAGGGGGGAGGTTAACCAAAACTAAGGATGTATGAAAACCCATTATGGAGACCACTACTTTATAAGCTAACTTAAATATATGTTTTTTGAAGAAAGAGCTTGAACACAAGTAACGCATGTCCATGCTGCATGGATGGATAATAATTTCCCTAGAAGGCATGGGTTATTAAACAAAAAAAAATGTAAACAAATATAAGTTCCTTCTACCTTAAGTTGATTTTGGTCATGGTATTTTATTATAGGAACAGAAAAGTAACTAAAAGATACTTCCCATTTGGGTTTCAGGACATAGAGAATAAAGCTGGAACTGAGCTCAGAACTTCCTCCCTGGTAGCATAGTTCCAAAAGGTGTTATGCAGGTTGCTGGGAGAGAAAACTGGCTATGGAGGTTGTCAGCCACTTTCTGATTGAATCTGAGGAGTGCTCCACATAAAAGAATTCAAGTCTGTTACTTTGAACCAGTCAAAAGTCCATGGCTGGGGAGGTAATAGGTTCTAAGGGGAGAAACTACTACTGTTGTTTTGCCAAACAGACATGTTATCAAACTGCTTTCTAATTTATTATTAGGTATTAGTGCTGCTCTTAATCTTAGAGAAGTTTCATTCTATAGTGGGCAGCAGTTAATGTGGAGACACATAAACATATGTGACTATTGAGTGCTCAGCCCTAAATGGGATGTTTCCACCAACCAAAACAAAGCGAAGAGAACACCTTGGAAAAGGAGGAAAGGATGTAAGAGTCAGAGGATGGGAGGAGGACTGTGTAATGCTGTCCTCTGGACTGGCATGGCTGTTGCACTCACAAACCGTAACTAAGGTTACCTGCACAAGAGTAAGCCAAAAAGACCAGCCAACATTCCAGCAGGAAGAACTGGACTCAGTGGGTTACAAATAAGAGGAAAGGACAAGAAAATGGGAGATGGGGAGGGGAGAGAAAGAGAGATTTGGATGTGGCTATGAGCAAGATACATTGCATACATGTATGAAATTGCCAAAAAATAAAGAAAAAATTATCATACAGGAAAAGGTTTATTTAAAACATTTGCCAATACAGATGTCAATTATAGAGATACAGTTGTAGTAGTAGAAAGAATTATCCACTACAACACTGTTTCTGGAAGCCAATCACATGAGTATCAATCAATAGGGAACTGATTAAACAAACTATGTCATGTCAACACAAAGGAAAGAGAATGAGGAAATCTTTACATTAATATAAAAGATGGCTTTCTAAACAATATGAAATTTTTAAAAAAATGCAAGTTATAAAATAACAGAACTGTCAGTTGTGTAAAAATAGAAGAATTCATTTGGAAACCAGGTGGGGAGCCTGGGGAGAGACAGTTCAGTTGGTGAATGCCTGCCACATAATTAATTATGAGGGCCCGTGTAAACTGGGCACGGAGGCTTGTACCTGTAACCCAACATGGGCTGGTGGTAGCACAGAGATAGGATTCCTAGAGCTCACTGGCCAGCTACCCTACAATAAATAAATAAATAAATAAATAAATAAATAAATAAATAAATAAATAAAGTGATGTGCCTAGAGAGATAGCTCAGTGGTTAGAAGTGCTTGGTCCTCTTCCAGAGGATGTGGGTTCAGTTCCCAGCACCCATATGACAGCCAGGTGATCTGATCTGACATCCTCTGGTGGCCTTCACAGATACTGCATGCAAGTAGCACACAGACATACACACAGACACAACACTTGCATGTATGTATTTTAACAATTTTTAAAATAAAAATATAGCTGGGCATGGTGGTCCATGCCTTTAATCCCAGCACTCAGAAGGCAGAAGCAGGTGGATCTCTGTGAATTTGAAGCCAGCCTGGTCTACAGAGTGAGTTACATGGAGAAATCCTGTCTCAACAAACAAAAAAAATACAGCTTATAAACCACATTACAGAGAAGTGGGATTCCTAGTGTCTATTTCAACTGTTTTTAAGGAAAGTCTCTTTTGACCATCCTAGCCCTCACTTAATCGTGCTTGTTAATCAGTATCTGTTACAGTTTGGTCCATGATAACTCATAGAGAGGCCTTAGCCCATAGTGTGGAGCTTCTGCTGCCACCACCACCCCCTTCATCACTGCCATCACCACCACCATCACCACCACTACCATCATTACCGCCATCATCGTCACCACCATCACTACCATCAACATTACCGCCCAGAAAAAGCAGAGCTTGCGCTTCTCCTAAACAAGGGATTCTTTTATGCTAAACTTGGAGGGTCCTGGGTCTGTTTCTATTGAAAGAGAGGGTTCTGCTCCCTGCTGCTCAGAGTCAGGAAGCTATGCAGCTATGATATGGAAGATGCTTTATCTAAGTAACTAGCCAACTCACCCAGGGATAGGGCTGAAGGATATGGCCTCTGCACTCCACTCTGTCCCCACCCCCAGAGACCAGATACACTGATCAAAAAGTCTAATAAGAAAAGCTAATGGGGGGCAGAGAGGGAGGAAGGGAGAAAGAGGAAGATAGAGAGGGAGAGAGAGTGCATGCAAACAAAATGAGCCACTCACCCCTTGCCCCAGAAAGGCCAGTACAGGAACCACTTTCTCCTGGGCGATGCACTGCAGGATCCGGGGGGCTCCATAGAGTCCCCCCATACAGGAAGCCAAGGATGAGATGTACAAGCCCAACAGGAAGAGGAAGCCAACCAGAGACACCTGTGTGAGACAGATGCTCCGTTACCACAGGCTGACCCTGGATGTCCTGTAGCAGCCTCTGTGCTAACCCTTATCCTCACCCCACCCCAGGGTGCCACCTACTCAATAGTACTGGACTGTTGAAAGCAGGGTCTGGTGGGAGGGAGTTCTTTAGGTGAGGGGGTGTGTCCTTGAAGGGGATGGTGGGGTCTCAGGCTCTTCCCTTTTTGATTTTGAGAAGACAGTTTTGCCATGCTACACGCTTGCAGCCATTACCACTGTAGCCATTGGCATCCCTACAAGAGGCTCAAGTGCCGCACCCATGCAGCTAGAGTACCAAGCTGGCGGAGGGTGTCGGGATTGAAACACTTAACAGACCACCACGAGAAGTGAAGAGGAAGCTGCTGCCATTTATTAAAGAGAGTAATGGGCTTATATACCCAAGCCAGGGGATGGGCTAAGCACAGGAGGAAGTCATGCACCACCCACACCTGGGGTCAAGGTACAGGCACTGCACACCGGAAAGTGATGAGAATAACCTTGTTTGATCAACCTTGAGAGCACGGGAGTTCTACAGCTGGGCGGGGAGGAGGAGAGCTGTAACAGACAAGTACTCAAATTTCCTAACATTCAAGACAATGGGTCATGGAATGAGACCCCCAAACCAAAGCTAAGTAAGACTTTTATTACTTTATTTACTTAGGGTGGAGGTGTGTGGGTGCATTCCACAACATGCATGTAGAAAACGGAGAACAACTTGTGAACATTGGTTCTCTCCTTCCACTATGTGGGTCCTGGGGATCAAACTGAAACCACCTGGCTTGACTGCAAGTGTCTTTTTACCTGCTGAGCCATCTCATTGACCCTAACTTTTCTCTTTATAAATTAATTATCTCAGGCATTGTATGATAGGGACTGGAAAGTGAGTAATACAATTATTCAATGACCAACACGGGCTTTTTTTTTTAACTACAAATAGTTACTACTTATTTGGGGGTGCGCTGTACCCCTGTACACCTTGCAGATCAGATGATCCAGAACATCAGCCCTCACTGTACACTTTGAGGCAGGGTCTCTCTTTCTTGCCCTGCACTGCATATTCTAGGTTAGATGATTTGCAAGCTCCCGGGGGATTCTCTTTCCTCCACCTCCCGTCTTGCTGTAGAAATTCTGGGATTATGGTCTGTGACAATCCATCTGGCTTTTTACATGGATTCTGGGGATTCCAAATCAAGCCATCAGGACTGCAGAGTCAGAGCAAGCATCTGAACGTTCCCAGGGCCTAACCCTGGCATTTGCTAATTTTGTTGATTTGTTTTGTCTGCTGAGACAGAGTCTTGCTGTAAGTCCAGGTTGTCCTTAATTCACAGAACTCCTTACCTCCAACTCCCTGGTTCTGGGATTACAGGCATGCTATGCTGGTCAGACCAAGCCTTGACCCTTTGCACTCCCCTGGTGCACCTTCCCGCTGCCCAGCTATTTCTCAGCCTCAGAGCTATATTCCCCTGCTATTTCTGGTTAGTTCATATCCTATATGGACTATATACTAGTTCTCAAATTGGGCAGGCATTAGATTCATCTCAGTGTCTCTAGAACCACTGGTTTCTGGGCCCTGGTCTTAGCATTTCAGATTCAGGGAGTATTGACAGGGGCCTAAGAATGTGGATTTCCTGAAGGTTCCAAGGTAACATTGATGTCAATGGCTAGAAACCGCACTTTGAGAATTGGTGACTACGATTCCAGTCAGGCTGTTGCATTTTCTGAGTGATGCCCAAGACCCTGACAGAGTGACAAACTTAACCCTGATCCTAAAGCAGCAGTGACGACTCCTCTGTTGGTTGATAAGCGGACCCTGCACAGTCCACGACTCCCCTAGCCCCACACCCTGCACAACACTCACTGTTGGGATCCTCTGTCCACACTAGCTAATGTGCTCATTGTCCAACACTGGGCATCAAGAAGCAGCACAAGGCGGCTGGAAAGATGGCTCAGTGGTTAAGAGTGCTTACTGCTCCTGCAGAGAACCTGAGTTCAGACCTGGGCACCCCACATCAGGCAGCTTATTACAGCCTATAACTCCCATACCAGGGCATCTAGTGCCCTCTGGCCTCCACAGGCCTATGCATGCACACACACACAAACTCATTTGGGTACATACATTAAAAAAACAAAAGGTGCAGTACAAACCCATCTCCTCTGTGAGACATCTTACTTCTCTACCAGGGGTTTCCCCAGTGTCATGAGGCTGAGGATAGGAGAGGCCTATCACAGTCTCCTCTACCAACCTGTTGATTTCAATCAGACCCCATGCTTCCAGTATTCTCAGTGCCCAGCAGAGGTAAATAAATGGTGAATTAATTAATAAGTTAATTAATTGATGTAATCCGCAACCCATACATCTCACAGATGTAAAGAGAGAGAGCAAGAGAGAACAAAGCTGTTCCCCTTGGTGCCAACTGGCAAGGGACCAGTGCAGTTGTCCACGCACTAGGTGAGCCTTGAACTCACCTCATGAATCCTCACCTGGACCTTGGGAAGCCCCTCTTTTTTGATGACTGGCCGCCCCGTCTCCATACTGCCTTACTCCAGACATGGTGACTTGAAATGTGCCCTTCAAGAGCTCATTTGCATAAATCTGACAGATGGTTAGATGTAATTTTCACCTTGTCACGTACAGCCTTCTTGATGAAGGTTCACCATCTCCCATTGTCCTAGTTAGCTTCATGTGTCAACTTGACATAATCCAGGGTTATCTAAGGAAGTCTCAAGTAGGGGCTGCCTAGATTAGTTTGGCCATATCTGAGACATTTTTGTAATTGCTAGTTGATGTAAGAGGACCAAGCCTGCCGTGGGCATCCCTAGGCAGCTGAGTCTGAGCTGCCTAAGAGAGCGAGCTAGGAGGAGGAAGCCTATAAGCTCTGTTCCTTTGCTGGTTTCTGTTTCAAGCCTCTGACTTGGCTTTGCTTTGATAATTGGAATGAACCCTGTAGGCAAATTTTCTCCCCAACTTGCTTTTGGTCAGGGTTTTATCATAGCAGTAAAGAACTATGTCTTATTTCCTTGCTTGAACAATGGGCTAAGTCCACATGGTCAAGTCATACTGAACCCAAGGCCCTGGATAACCTATTTCCTGTATCTCAACTTATCACTAAAATAATCTGACTGATAAGTCCTGTACCAATCAGGCTGCTTGATTTGAAGGCACACAAACAACAGGGCTGGTGAGATGCCTCCACAGGTAAAGGCACCTGCTGCAAGCCCAGCAATCCGAATTTGATCTCTGGGGCCCACACGTTGTCCTCTGCCCTCTGTGCATGTGACCCCTCCAGAAGTAAATTGAAAAGAAATGAGTGTATCTGGAGGTTCAGACTCCTCACTTGGAACAGTTCAGCCAGAGCATAACCAGTGCCCTCCACCCTGCACATGACCCTGACCATCTCTCTATCATTGCATCATGCACTGCTCTTGAAGAATTCATCCACCCCACCTCAGTCATGTGACCTGTTAGGGCTGCAAAGGGGTGTCAGGAAAGGGTCTGGTCCTTCAAACTTTTGAATATTAAACGGGGACCTCATAACCTGCAAAATGTGAGGAAGGGGTCAGAGGCTGGACAGAGGCAGCGGGGTCCCTGCACAGCCATGCTGTCCTTCATTCCACATGGACTGCTTTCCCCACAGGCGCCAGATCAACCCAGGTGGATCTCATCTGCATCTCGTTTCAATGCCAGGCGTTCCTCAGGCTTGTCCTCCCCTTCTCTTACTGCTTTAATTATTAGAAATCACTGTTATCGATGTTTCCCATCATGTCTTGTGCTCTACCAGCATTTTGTGATTCTCTCCCCTGTGGAAGCGTTAATCAGGCTCGTGGTTTCCCTCACCCATGCGCCCTGCACTCCTTAGGAACACAGCAGAATCACTCTCGGCCTTCACCCACAGCAGAGGCTGGAATCAGTGAAACCTGGGCACTTTACATGATCCGAGTCCTGGCTATTTCCCACAATTCCTAGGAAAACTGCCTCTGTGAGATCCCCCATGCATCCTGAGAGGAACCATCTGTAATCTTTCTTTGCATCTTCTCTACCAAATGCATCCTATGTTGATGACTTAAAAAAAAGAAAGAGGAAAAAAAAAAAAAAAAAAAACAACAAGACTGAGATGAAACTTTATCAAAAAGCATTTTGAAGTTCTAACTTGGTGATTCTCTTCTCAGCCCTTATCTAAGAATCACCCTGGAGGTTCTGACTCAATGGGTGCTTGGCGGGACATGTGTACCCATTGTAAAAAGTCTCCCAGGTAATCCTAGCATATAGTCAGTGTGAATAGCTGGGCACAGGATAGTGCACCCTTTACACTCACTCCTAGAAAACATGTTTCAGAAAGACAGGAATGGATCGTCCTTCAGAAATCTGACTGCTTCTTAGCCAAGAGCTAGGAAATCATCCGTTCGTGTGGATGGAGGATGGGTTCTAGAACACCAAGGGTATCTAAATCTATTGCTCAGGTACCTGGTATAAAATGGCATTATATCTAGCTATAATTTACCTACATCCTCCTATATACTCACTCATCTCTAGATGACTACACATAGTATCTAATGCACACATGTGAGCATATGCATGCACACATGTGTAACTTTTTATTTTCATTTAAAGCATGTCCATCCACTGGAATGAGACTCCCTAGTCTGCATCTCTCCAGTGCTGGCTGAACCCCAGGAACCTTGTCAGCGTCTGGCTCTGTGATCTCTGTGACTGGTGATGACTAGTGACTTCATCTTGGGCTGCCTTCCACAGATACACCCTGGGACTCCTCCAGAACCCTTGGGCTGGGGTCAGAGTGGAGATCACCCACAAGTTCAGGCGAATTAAGAGGTCAATGCCTCCACCTCACAGCTTCCTCTCAACTCATATTTCCAGAAATATGTTTCCCAAAAATTCCTTTACGCTGATCCCAGCCAAATCTGGCCTTCGATTGATAGCCAGTTCCCACAAGGAGGCAAAGTCCACTTAGTCTCTGAGAGGC